GTATTCCTCTATGGATTGATAACTGCTTAAAATCTTGGGACTTCAAACACTAATTGTGATTCAAATAAAGATATATTTGTCAAATTATTCTAATGCTTTTGTGATTTATTTGATTTGCCAGTAACTTCAGAATACTGTATAATTTTTTAGGGATCAGTGTTTACCTGTTTTAAGTACCATATGCTAAGTATTTTTTTTGAAAACAGATTAATAAAACCACTGCTTCTGTTTACTTAGGGCATATAACAGTTGGGGAAAAAAAAATACCCAGGAAAGAAGAAAGTTCTGCTTATTTTATGATAAAGACTTTAAGAGTTCTAAAGAGGAACTGTGGTGGTATATTATTTTTAGCTGAAGTGGGCTGAGGCGTTTTTATGGAGTCTTGCAGGGCTGCAGCTCTTAGGCAACAATTGTCCTTTACCCAGTGGCGAGATCAGATTTCTTTACTTACACATGATTTAGACAAAGATGATTTCCTTCAGACCCTCATGCCAGGGTAGTTGGCACTGGAAACCTCCCCTTACACATGCATGTCTCCAAGATATACTATAAACAAAAGACAAAGGATTATATGCCTAAGTGTATAAGGAAAGAGAGGGAGGATCAGAGGAAAAGAGGCCTCTTCGTTCAATTACCCCTGGCTTATTCATCCCGCATCCTGTTAACAAGAAATCGTCACAGCTCCAAGTCAGATAGAATAGTAATCCTGTGACCAGGGTCTGTGACCAGAAAGAACATTTCCTGTCCTCTAGCTGTAATGTAAGTCTGCATTTTCTGATTAGTGATATAAAAACCACAACAAAGCTGTTGCCATTGAGCCCATTTTGACTCACAGTGACTATAGGACAGAGTAGGACTGCCCCAAGGGGTTTTAGGACTTTAGATCTTTTTAAAAACAGACTGTTACATTTTCCTTTCTTGGAGTAGCTGGATTTGAACCACTGACTTTTCAGTTAGCAATCAAAACCTGTAGCCATGACGCCACTAGGGCTCCAAGATTAATGCGATAACAGGTTAAAAGGAGAAGCTGTCTCCCTTGGGGGGCATGTTGCTATTAGGCTCTATTGAGTCGGTTCCGACTCATAGCTACCCTGTGAACAACAGAATGAACACTGCCTGGTTCTGTGGCATCCTCTCCATTGTTCCTATGCCAAGGCCATTGTTGCAGCCACTGTGTTAATCCAGCTCTCTGAGAGCCTTCCTCTTTTTTCATGCCCATCCTCTTGACCAAGCAAGATGTCCTTCTCCAGGGTCTAGTCTCCCCTGACAACATGTTCAAAGTATGTAAGAGAAACCTTGCCCTTCTTGCCTCTAAGGAGCACTCTGGCTGTGCTTCTTCCAAGACACATGGGTTTGTCCTTTTAGCAGTTCATGGTACTTTCAATCTTCTCCTCCAACACCACAGTTCAAATAACATCAGTTCTTTTTTGGTCTTCCTTATTCATTGTCCAAGTTTCACATGCTTATGGGGCAATTGGAAATCACATGGCTTGGGTGCTTACTGGTACAATTTAGTACTTTGTACAATGTAGGCGATGATGGGCATGAAACTCACGCTGGACTCAGGCTGGTCTTGAAACTTTTTTACGCTTAAAACTAGTAGAGACCTGGGTGGGTGGACATAAGAGAGAAACAATCTTTTAGGAAACTATTTGTATTCATTGACAGGAATTTGTTTGTTTGTTTTTTGTTTGTTTCATTTTTTCCCGGATTTTATTTTATTTATTTATTTATTTATTTTTTAGAATATACTTCTTCTTTTTTTTTTCCTGTTCAAATTTTATCTTTTATACATTTTAATTTTATTTAGCCTAAACTTTAAAAAATTTAACAGTTCTATTAACATATAATTCACATAATGTACAATTCAATGGTTTAGATATATTAAGAGTTGTGAATATGTATTTTATACTTTTTTTTTTTCTTTTCTAACATTTTATTAGGGGCTCATACAACTGTTATCCCAATCCATACACACATCAATTGTGTAAAGCGCATTTGTACATCGTTTCTCAAA